CAGGTGTTTGTGTTTGAAATGTGTAGTTCAGAGGGCTAGAAGTCTGTCAGTGGGTGGGAGACTGGCGGGACTCAAGAACCCCCTCACCCCACCCTGGTGACTGCTGAGGCAGTTTGGCTCACTGGAAGGAGGATGTGGTGGAACTTGGGGGTTCCTGAGTCTGGGGCCTGCTGTACAGGACAGGAAATGCACTTGTTGGCTGGCCTGAGTGATAGAGGAACAGAGAAACAGGGTATGAAGAACAGCACTGTATGGCCTGACTTTCTCACTTTATTTCTTTAAAAAAAATTATATATATCCCATTACTGGGACTTGAACTCAGGGCCTGGGCACTGTTCCTGAGCCTCTGTGCTCAAGGTTAGCACTCTACCACTTGAGGCACAGTACCACTTCCAGGTTTTCTGTATATGTGATGCTGAAGAATCCAACCCAGGGCTTCATGCATGCTAGGCAAGCACTCTACCACTAAACCACATTCCCAGACCAAAAAAAATTATTTTATTTTTAAAAAATTAATTATTTTTAAATTATTTATTTTTTTAAATTATTTTTAGCCAGGTGCCAGTGGCTCACAGCTATAATCCTAGCTACTCAGCCGGCTGAGATCTGAGGATCACAGTTTGAAGCCAGCCTGGGAAGAATAGTCCCCGTGAGCCTCTTATCTCCAATTAACCACTCAAAAATTGGAAGTAGAGCTGTGGCTCAAAGTGATAGAGTGCTAATCTTAAGTAAAAGAGCTCAGGGACAGCACCCAGAACCCAACCTCAAGCCCCATAACAGGATGCACACAAGAATATTTTAAGTAATATGCAAAAGAATTTTAATTCAGCATAACAATTTATGAGTACAGTCCATATTGATCGGTTTACTCCTTTCATCATTCTCCCCCATTCTTCCAACCCCACCCTCACCAAACTAAGGCTGATGGCACTGGCACTGGGCTGTGACTGCTCCAGCGGGTGAGGTGGGACATAAAGCAAGCCTTTTCAGAGAGATTAGGAAATGCCTCTGAGGAAAAGGACAGTTAGGACTGGGAGAAGGCAAGGGATGAACAACAAGTACTAGGGATACAACTGGTCCAAGATGGAACAGATTCCTTAGGGCTGGTGACAGATGGCTGGGGCTCTGTCACAGCTGGTGGGCCAGGGCTTAGTTGGCTCATAAATAACTCCGTTAAGCCAGGCATAGGTAGCTTATGCTTATAATTCTAAATACTCAGTAGGCTGAGATCTGAGGATCATGATTTGAAGATAATCCAGACAAGAAAGTCCATCACCAAAAAGCCAGGAATGGAGCTGTGACTCAACTGGTAGAGTGCAGCCTTGAGGGACAGAGCCAAGGCCCTGAGCTCAAGCTCAGTAATGGCACAATCAATCAATCAATCAATCAGCGGATAACTAAGCAAACCTGGAGACTACTGGATAGGAAATAAAATGGGTGGGAAGCAGCAGTGGCTTAGACTGGACAGAGGTCACAGAATTTCATGATGATGAATGGTAATATAATAGCCTCTGGTTGTTTCTTGGAAGCTTACAACTCAAGTGGGAACAAAAGCTGGGATGGCCGGGCGCTGGTGGCTCACCCCTGTAATCCTAGCTACTCAGGAGGCTGAGATCTGAGGATCTCGGTTCAAAGCCAGCCCGGGCAGGAGAGACCGTGAGACTCCTATCTCCAATAAACCACCAGAAAACTGGAAGTGGCGCTGTAGCTCAAGTGGTAGAGCGCTAGCCTTGAGCTGAAGAGCTGAGGGACAGCACCCAGGCCCAGAGTTCAAGTCCCACGACCGACAAAAAAAAAAAAAAAAAAAGCTGGGATGGAGGGGGGCTTCCAGTAGTCAGGGCACCCTGGAGGGCTTGCAGGAGTCAAGGAAGCCTTGGGAAGGTTCCTAAAGAGTAGTATGTGGAGGGGCTGGGAAGGTGGCTCAGTGGTAGAGCGCTTGCCTTGCATGCATGAGGCCCTGGGTTTGATTCCTCAGTAAGCAGAAAAAAAAAAGCCGGAAGTGGCGCTGTGGCTCAAGTGGTAGAGTGCTAGCTTTGAGCTGAAGAGCTGAGGGCCAGCACCCAGGCCCAGAGTTCAGGCCCACGAACGGACCTTCCCCCTCCCCCCCCCCCCCAAAAAAAAAGAGTAGTATGTGGAGTTGTGGTTCTGCAGGAGAAGGAAGCGCAAAGTGCTACAGGTGGAGAAAACAGCCTGGACAAAGGCTCAAGAGGAGAAATTAAGTTGTTATAGGCCTGTACCTGGCCTGAAACGTGGTCTGGGGGAAATTGGCTAAGCCTATCTGCTGTGGGGAGCAGAGAACAAGGTGCCAGGTCAGCAGACTGAACTGAGGTTTAGTCTGGGGAGGAGGTGGGGACGCTGAAGGATGACCTAATTTAGGAGCCCAGAAGCACCTGGCCTTCTATGCCTAAGCCTGTCGCAGATCAACCCTTGTCATTGGTGAGGTTGTCATTCAAGCCATGTGACAAATAGAAGCTTATGTGCTGTCCAGGCACTGTTCCAGGCCTGGAATTACATGGTGAATAAAGTGGAGCTAATTAGTGGGGGAGATAGGTAATGAGCAAGTAAATGACATAGAAGACATCATCAGGTGGCAACAAGTTCTGAGAAGGGAGTAAAACAGGATGATGTGAAGCAGTACAACTGGGTTGTGAGGCAGGGCTGTTTGGAGGAAGCATTTAGGTGAAGGGCACAGTTGAGTGCAGGAATAGGAATTACCCACACTGGGGGGAGAAGTCTATGTGGAGGGAGCAGCCTAGCAATGGGCCTAGGTCAAGGAAGGTCTTGGGGCCGAAGCATTTTAAAGCCTGCAGCATCACATGTTTCAGATATTTCTCTGACTCTGGTTCTCATGTCTTCCTCTTTTAAGGACCTTTGGAAGATTGGGGATTGGCTCAAGTGGCAGAGGGTTTCCTTAGCAAGTGTAAGACCTAATCCCCAGGACATCAAGAAATTAAAAAAGAGAAAGAGAAAGAGAAAGGGACAGAGGGAAGAAAAAACTGAAAAAGAGAGAAAAAAGGGACAAAAAGAAAAGGGCCTCATAGTTGTATAGGTCCACCCAGATAATCCAGACTTCTTCCCCATCTCAAGACTTTTTTTTTGCCAGTCCATGGGCTTGAACTCAGGGTCTGGACACTGTCCCTGAGATTTTTTTTTTAAATTTGTTTTTGGGTCCGGTCGTGGGGCCTGAACTCTGGGCCTGGGCGCTGTCCCTCAGCTCTTCAGCTCAAGGATAGCACTCTACCACTTGAGCCACAGCTCCACTTCTGGCTTTTTCTGCTTATGTGGTGCTGAGGAATCGAACCCAGGGCTTCATGCATGGGAGGCAAGCACTCTACCACTGGGCCACCTTCCCAGCCCCTGAGCTTTACTTTTAATTAAAAAAAAAAAAATCTTTTTGCCAGTCCTGGTGCTTGGACTCAGTGCCTGAGCACTGTCCCTGAGCTTCTTTTACTCAAGGCTATCACTCAACCACTGAGCCACCTTCCCAGCCCCTTCCTGAGATTTTTTTGCTCAAGGATAGCACTCTACTACTTGGGCCACAGTGCCACTTCTGGCCTTTTTTGTGTATGTGGTACTGAGAAATCGAACCCAGGGCTTTGTGCATGCCAGGCAAGCACTCTACCACTAAGCCACATTCCCAGCCCCATCTGAAGTTTTAATTTAATCCTATCTATTAAGTCTCTGGTGCCATCAAAGGTAAAATATTCACATGAGGACGACATCTCAGGGGCCACTATTTTGCTTCCTAAAGCCATAGATGGCAGCGGGCCCAATGACCTGCGTGACCTAAGTGGCAGAACATCTGGATTAACAAGGGATCTCAGCTGTCTTCCTGGTCTCCACTTGAGGATTGCAGTCAGGACTCACACAGAGGGTGAGATAGATTGAAATCCTGGCATGGGAAGGGATCACTTGGAAGAACATGCTAGCTAGAAAGCAGGGAGTTTGAAGAAGACAAATAGGTGAGGAAAAATAGGAGGAAAATGTGAAGGAGAAGATGACCACTCATGTCCCAGGCTGCTGAGAGGCTGAAGAAGATGAGGGCAGAAAGGGGTTCACTGGGTTTGACCATGTGGGACACAGGTGATGTTGACAAGAGCTGTGCCAAAGGGCAGAAATCAACACAATGTGAGGTTAGCAGTTGGAGTTGGGCAGTTATTATTATAATTAGGGACTTGTAAGTATGGACCTATTAGTCTGTCAACCATGCAAACATGTGAATCTATTTCATCATTTAAACATGTAACATGGGACTGGGAATGTGGATTAGTGGTAGAGTGCATACCTAGCATGCATGAAGCCCTGGGTTCAATTCCTCAGTGCCACATAAACAGAAAAAAGCCAGAAGTGGTGCTGTGGCTTGAGCATACAAAAAAAAAGCAGCAGCAGCCCAGAGACAGTGCCCAGGTCCTGAGTTCAAGCCCCAGGAATGGCAAAAAAAAAAAAAAAAAGTAAAGTACTGTGATAGGAATTGGTGAAATGGAACAACACCTTGTTTCTCTTCCTCACTAGCTTGTTCTCTAGCTTGTCCCCTAATCCACGAAAGCCACATCATGACCTTTCAGAAACACATACTGAGTTTGGCTTCTCCTTTATAAAGTCTTCCATTACTTCCTGCCCCCGACAGCATGAAGACCCTGAACTTGGTTCACTCTCACAAGCTGAGCCTCAGATCTCCTTCCAAACAAACTGACACTGCTGCTGGTGACCCTGGCTATGTCACCAGAAGATGTTTCCCCACCCCTGCTTTGTCAGGGTGGGTGGCAGGCAAAAAAGGGCTGCATTTCACCATCTTGTGTAGAAATGGAGATTGAGAAAAGGCCTTCCCTATAATATAGCATCTGCAGTCTTGTGTTAGGGGAACAGCTTGTGTCTCTCCTTTCTGGGCCTTTGTCGTGGCTAGTCATAAAGGTTCTGGAATGGGCCTGTGCTTGGGCAGGCATGGAGGAGAAGGGAGCGCTCAGCCAGCCTGGTTTTGCCGCCGTCTGTTTTCCACTCAGGCTTCTGGTCACCAGTGCCAACAGGACCTCAGCACCTCTGCATCAATGCTCCCTCATCCAGGATGGAATCGTTTGCCGGCCAGTGGGTAGGTCAGGCCTGTTTCCAGGATGTGCAACCCAGGCCCCTTTCTAGGAATCCCACTCATCCCAGCCCCACCCTTCCCAGCTCCAGCCTCACTTAATCCTGCCCACCCATCTGGTCCTCCAGCCCAATTCCCAGGCCCAGCTCTCCCACCACCATTCCAAGCCCACCTGGTGCCACACACTTGAGGCTGATGCTCTGCCATTTGAGCCACACCTTAGGGCTTTTTGCTGGTTAATTGGAGATGAGTCTCATGGACTTTCCTGCCCCAGCTAGCTTCAAGCTGTGATCCTCAGACCAGTGAGAGGCACACTCTGTTGTGCAGACTCAGTGTCTGTCCAGACAAGTAGATCATCAATAGGAGTGCTAGAGCTAGGTAATCCTAGCTACTCAGGAAGCTGAGACCTGAGGATTGTGGTTCAAATCCAGCGTGGGCAAGAAAGTCTGTGAAACTCTTATTTCCAATTAACCATCAAAAAAGCTGTAAGTGGAGCAGGAAATTTCCCTGGGAAGGTCTTTGAAGCTGAGGGGATTGTGGATCCACACTTCCGGCCCATAGTGTTTTGCACACTTTGTGTACTGCACATATCCGCTAGCAGTGCTTCTCCACTCAGAAGTGCCTTAGACAAGAAGCCCCTCAAGGAGAAGCCACAGGATATCATCATTTCTGGATCTCGATCCTCACAAGTTACAAGCCTGGGCATGGAGCAGGTGTCCAGGGCATTTGCTGAGATGGTAAATTGGGCTGGATAGGTAATACAACCTAGACATTTCCAGGTCTACTTCTGAAGTCCCAGCTCCTGCCTTCAAAGGCTGCTCAGGAGCCCCTGACAAGCAGCCCTGTGCCCTCTGACCCTGGCTCCAGAGTGGCTTCTGGTCCTTGTCCCTCCTTACCTGTTTGACCTGTTTCAGAGCATGTCCCTGTCCTAAAGGGGAAGCACCGGGGAATCACAGTTGTCCGGAACCAGCATGGTGTCCTGGTGAGTAGGAAAGGATGGGTAGATTCAGGGTTAAGGGGAGGTTGGCACTGACTCCCCTGGGTGACTCTGGTATGCATGCCAGTTCCGACTGATGTGCTGTCTTCCTTGTACCTGGCCTAGTCCTGCCTGTGCTAACGCCAGGGCTGACCAAGTATTCCTCATGGCCCATGCTCCAACCAAGTTACTGACTATAGCTTTGACCCAAGCATCAATCTGGTGAGGGGCAAAATAGGGGTTTCCTAATTGGTTTGGAAATTCACTGAGTTCTGTAATGGGCTAATAGTGTGGCTATAATAGAGGACATGAGATTGATTCAGATTATTAAGTGTGTGTGTATGGATTTGTTTTGAGACAGACTCTTGCCTTGAACTTGCCATCTTCCTGCCCCAGTCTCCTGAATGCTAGGATTACAGGCATGTCTACAATGGTCCAGTTTCCCCCCTACTTCCTTTCTTCCCTTTTGTCCAGATATGCATTCAGGTGCAGGCCCGGCAGCCCCATAGCCTCAGCTCAGAACTCACAAGCAACTGCAGCCTGCTGACCCCCGACCTGCTTCCCCAGGCCCAGGTCGACTTCTTTGATCTTGGTGAGGACTGGTTACTCACTGGTTTTGGACAGCCCCACAGAGAGCCTAGGGCGCTCAGTGAGAGGCCTTAATCCATGGGAGAGACCCAAAGTGGGGTGAAGCAAGTTTGAAGTCCCTAATGGAAGGCATTATCAGGTCAAAGCTAAGTGCCAGCTTGCCTGGGGAAATATGAAGTCTCTGACTGAATCTTCATGTGTTTTTCTTAAAGAAAGTATTCTGGACCCAGATGCACAGGTGGACACTGGCCACTGCTACAGGAATAAAGGAGGCAGCCCAGGAGAGAATAAGAACTTAGCCAGAAGGCATCGGGCCCTGAAGGAGGGAGAACAGGAGGAGGGAGAGCAGGAGGAGGAAGCTGGTGAGAAAAGGCACTTTGGGGGCTCCCAGATCAGATCTCCTGGCTGGCAGCATCCAAGGACCAGGCGTTCCCAGGTCTGGAACACAGAAGAAGGGGCTAGGCTCTTCATTACTCCTGCCATGGTAGTGGCAGCACACAGCAAGTCAGAGCCTGAGAAAGTTCCGTCTCTCTCTTTGCCTTTATTTTTTTATTTTTATTTTTTAATTAATTTTATTTTATTTTATTTGAGAACATACTGTACAGAGGGGTTACAATTACATGGGCAGGATAATGCATACATTTCTTACCAAGCATTGCAGCCTCCTCCTTTGTTTACCCTTCACCTCCCTTCCCAGCCTCCCCCCTCCCCCCTCTCTTTGCCTTTAAAACAAGAGCTTTTATTCAAGACAGCTCCTCTGGGACTTGAACAGAGATGTGTGTCCCCACTTCTGCCCCCACGTCCATGCCTCCTCCTGACCTGCTCCCTTGTCTTGGCTAGGCACCGAGATTGCCATAGTCCTGGATGGCTCAGGAAGCATTGAACCCCAAGATTTTCAGAAAGCCAAAGACTTCATCTCCAACATGATGAGGAACTTTTATGAAAAGTGCTTTGAGGTGGGTTTCTGTGTGGCCTGGACTCATGTCACCTATGACTGTGTGTCATCATCACTGCCTTAAAACAACCACCTTAGCTGAGCTCACGCCTGTAATCCTAGCTACTCAGGAGGCTGGGATCTGAGGATCATGGTTCAAAGCCAACCTGGCAGGAAAATCTGAGACTCTTATCTCCAATTAGCCAGAAAACTGGAAGTGGCACTGTGGCTCAAGTGGTAGAGCACTTGCCTTGATCTGAAGAGGTCAGGGACACAGCCTAGGCCCTGAGTTCAAGCCCCACAACCGACAAAAAAACAACCAAACAAAAAGCACTGCCAGGTGCTGGTGGCTCACACCTGTAATCCTAGCTACGCAGGAGGCTGAGATCTGAGGTTCATGGTTCAAAAAGCCAGCCCAGGCGGGAAAGTTTGTGAGTCTCATCTCCAATAAAACCACTAGAAGACCAGAAGTGGCGCTGTGGCTCCAGCCGTTGAGTGCTTGCCTTGAGCTGAAGAGCTGAGGGACAGTGCCCAAGCCGAGTTCAATCCCCATGACCAACCAAAAAAAAAAAAGCACTTTTGTATTTCTCCCAGTCCTTCTAAGGGTCAGGTATTTGGGGAGGGTTCAGCTGGGTAGCTCTTCTGTTGCTTTGGCCTGGAGTTACCCTGCAACTGCAGGCAGATGTCTGGCTTGGCTGGGGCTGTATAGCCTGAGATAGCCTCATTCATTTGTTCAAACCCTGGGTCTCCAGCAGGCTGGCTTCGCCTTCTCATGACAGTAACATTCTCCTGTCCCACTAGCCAAAGCAAGCACCTGGCCAATCTTATAGCCAACATGGAGGATTCAGGGAGAGACCTGATTCTCTAGGGGCCATGATGATGACATCTTCCTCTACCTCTTTACAAAGTTCCTCTCCTGCTCAGGCTCAGGTGTATGAGCGTTGTGTCCAGGGAAGTCCTCTTAGGCAGGGGTGGCCTTGAGCCTGGAGACACATCCTTCCCCATTGGCCCTCTTCCCTCCAGTGCAGCTTTGCCTTGGTGCAGTATGGGGAAGTGATCCAGACTGAATTTGACCTTCGAGACAGTGAGGATGCCATGGCCTCCCTTGCCAGAGTCCAGAACATCACTCAAGTGAAGCGTGTCACCAAGACTGCCTCAGCCATGCAGCACGTGCTGTGAGTGGGAGACTCAGCGGCATCCTGCCCTGAGGAGGTGGCTGCACAGAGCTGAGAGGAGGGCGCCAGGGTTCAGCTCTTCCCTGGCTAAGAGAGTGGGGTGAAACCTGGGACGGCCCTCTAGACCTTCTTCCGGGCTTTCTCCTGTGAGACACAGAGCAGCCGTGCTCAGGGACAGGCTGCTTGGGTCCAACTTCTAGCTTTGTACTTGTGTGGCCTTGGGCAAGTTACCCAACCTTTCTGTGTTTCAATTTCCTCACTTCTAACAGGGAGATAGTTGATTTTGCTTTGTGGGATTTTGTGAGAATGAAGTAGTTTAAAATATATACAATGCTTAAAGCAGTACCTGACACATAAGTGCTGTGTTAAGTACTGTCTGCTGGAATATTGTCAGCATGATTCCTGCATGTGCATGAAAGGGGCAGATATGGGCATATTTTGTCCAGGTGCTTTTTGTCTGGAGCGGCATCTCCACCCTTTTCTAGGCCTTTCAGAAGTGGGACAGTGAACAAAACCTCCCCTCCCCCCAGATCTTAGCCATCTCCCCTGGAAAGTTCTCTTCACTTTGCCTTCTATTGTCAGAGATCATATCTTCATATCAAGCCGTGGCTCCAGGAAAAAGGCATCCAAGGTCATGGTGGTACTCACCGATGGTGACATATTTGGAGACCCCCTCAACCTCACAACTGTCATCAACTCTCCAAAGATGCAGGGTGTTGAGCGCTTTGCCATTGGGGTAAGAGCCAGGAGCCAGGAGGCACACCCCCTCATGTGGTACAGCCTGGGTAGGGAGCTCCCACAGGAACTTTTGAAAGCAGTGTATCCAAACTTAACACTCATTCTTTCTGTCTGTCTCTCTGTCTTTTCTTTCTTCTGTCTTTCTTTTTCTTTCTCTCTCTCTCTTTTTTGTATCAGTACTGGAGCTCAAAATCAGGGCCTGGACACCGTTGTCCCTTAGCTTTTCCTTTCAAGGCTTGCCATTCTACCACTTGAGCCACAGCACCATTTCTGTGTTTTTGTTTATTTTTCCTGAGTAGTTTATTGGTTTTGTTTTGTTTTATTTTTGGTCCAGTTGTGGGGTCTGAACTCTGGGCCAGGGCACTGTCCCTCAGCTCTTCAGCTCAAGGCTAGCACTCTACCATGTGAGCCACAGCGCCACTTCCGGCTTTTTTCTTTTTGCTTATGTGGTGCTAAGGAATCGAACCCAGGGCCTCATGCATGCAAGGCAAGCGCTCTACCACTGAGCCACCTTCCCAGCCCCTGAGTAGTTTATTGGAGATAAAGAATTTCATGGACTTTCCCTCCCAAGTTGGCTTTGAACAGAGATATTCAGATCTCAGCCTCCTGAATAGCTAGGATTACAGACATGAGTGGTTACCAGCACTTGGCTTTCCTTGTTTTCTCTTGATTCCCACATCCTGTCCACAACTTCATTGACATGGGCCTTATTTTTTATGGTGAGCAAAGCTTGCTGGCTGAGTCGGCTGAGGAGAGCCCACAGGAAGGCTCCTGGGGTAAACAGTGTTGAGCCATGTCCTGGTGGATGACAGGAGTGGCAGGCTTCGGTTAGAAAAGGTGAGGAGGGCCCTAAAGCTAACTTCTGCATGAAAGAACACATGTAGTTTGGCAAAACTAGAGAGTTTTCCTGAATGTGAATGTGTGTGTGTGCCTGCATGCATGTGTGCACAGGCATTTGTGTGTGTGTGTGTGTGTTGTTGTTCATGCATTCATGTAAGGAGCAGAGGACGGGAGCATAGAAGAAAGAGCATGCTGGAGGCGATGGAGTCCCTATTGACCCTGAGGGCTCTGTGCAGGTAGGAGATGAATTTCAGAATGCTAAGAAGGACAGGGAACTGAAGCTGATAGCCTCGGACCCCAGTGAGACCCACGCCTTCAAGGTGACCAACTACGGCGCCTTGGATGGGCTGCTGAGCAAGCTGCAGCAGAGCATCATTCACATGGAAGGTGAGGGCTACGCTTCCCCTGTCCCCCCAGCAGCAGGGCCTCTGTCCCGCCCCAATCACCTGTCTGAGCCTCAGCTGTTCGCTGGTAAAAAGACCACCACACCACAGCCCTCCTTACCTCCCAGAATCTCCAAGAAACTCTGATGAATTGGACTGGTATTCCAGAAACAAGGACACTCCAGGCACACTTCCTCATTCCCGGAGTTCGTAAATAAGCAACCTGAAGCCCAGAAAGAGTGAACTTTGGCTCCCAACTATGCTAAAGCAAACGCCAAGTCTCCCTATTCTCCATCGATTCCTCTGGGGCAGTAGCCCCACGGGACCACATTCTCTGGCATGGTAGAGACCTCATTGGACTCCTTGGTTTCCAGGCACCGTCGGAGACGCCCTTCATTACCAGCTGGCACAGACTGGCTTCAGCGCACAGATTCTGGACGAGGTTTGTGATCTACTCCACATGGGCAGACTTGCTGGGAGAGGATGGACTCCGAGAGGCCCTGGGCCCTGTGAGGGACCTCTGGGGGAGTCGTTTTAGGATGAAGGGAAGTAGTCTGTTACCACTAAGAGACAAGAGAATGGTCGCGATTCTGCTTTGTGCACTCGTGGCGTGCACCCAGGTCGTTTGTTTATTCCACGCCGGGAGAACATGATCCTGGCGGGGTGCCAGGGAGGGGGGCTATTCAGGGGGCTGAGATCTGAGGAGAGCGGTTCGAAGGCAGCCCCAGCTAGAAGGTCCATGAGACTCATCTCCAATTAAGCACCCAAAGAGCCGAATGTGGCGCTGTGGCTCAAATGGTAAAGCGCTAGCCTTGAGCTGAAGCGCTGAGGGTCAGCGCCCAGGCCCCACGACCGTCCACACACATGCACACGCGCGCGCGCGCGCGCACACACACACACAGACAAAACACAACCCTGGACCTAGTGGAAGGAAACAGCAGACGCAGCGCGCCGGTTTCCGGGCCTGCGGGAAACCCGCGGGTTCGCACTGCCCCTGGCCCTGGCCGGCTGCCTTCCGGCCCCCGCCCTTACCGCCTCTCCCTGCCTCCGCAGGGGCGGCTGCTGCTCGGCGCCGTGGGCGCCTACACCTGGTCGGGGGGAGCCGTGCTGTACAGCCCCGCTCAGCGCCGCGGCCGTTTCCTGAACCACAGCGCCGAGGCCGCAGGGGCCGGGCCGGCGCAGTATGGATACCTGGGTGAGGGGGGCTGGGAGAGGGCGGGGCCGCCCGAGGGCGGGGGAGGTGAGGGCGGGGCCGCCCGAGGGCGGGGGAGGTGAGGGCGGGGCCTGGAGGGGTGAGGGAGGTGAGGGCGGGGCCTGGAGGGGTGAGGGCGGGGCCTGAGGGGTGAGGGAGGTGAGGGCGGGGCCTGGAGGGGTGAAGGCGGGGCCTCACCTGGGGCCTATGTAAACTGAAGAGCCAGGCATATTGATGATGTGTGAGAGGAGTTTACTACACTTTAGGACTCCTGGTGGGAGCAGGAGGGACCCTCGCTGGGGACCTTGAGGTTGAGGGCACAGAGTGCCTTGGGCTGCTGCCTAGGGAAGGAAAATCATGGAGACTGGCTGGCCCCCACACCTCGTCCTCTTAATCCTCACATGCAAAATATTCCTTTCTTGGCTAAGAATCCTAAGGAATTTTTCTTTTCTTTTTTTTTTAAATAACAAACATCCAATTTCCATCCCTTAAAAAAAAGGAAAAAGAAAGGGGTGTGTACAAGTTCATATTGAAGCCGGGCAATGGTGGCTCATGACTGTAATCCTAGCTATTTAGGAGGCTGAGATCTGAGGATCACAGTTCAAAGCCAGCCTGGGCAGGAAAGTCTGTGAGGCTTTTTTTTTTTTTTTTTAAATAAGTAAGCCCTTTATTATATTAGATTTTTGTTTTTCTAATTGTAATATTCGTGTACAGAGGGGTTACAACTACATGAGTAAGGTAATAAAAACATTTCCTATAGAGCATTGTTACCTCCTCCTTTGTTTTTCCCCTACCATCCCTTCCCTTCCCACCTCCCCTACTCCCCGCCGCCCAAGTTGTAAAGTTCCTTTTCAACATAGTGTCTTGTTCATCTCATTGTTACAATGGGTCAACCTGTATCCTTGTTTCAGCATTTTGTTAGTTCCCTCCAGGAGACTCTTATCTCCAATAAACCACTCGGAAAACCAGAAGTGGCACTGTGGCCTCAGTGGTAGAATGCTAGCCTTGAGCTGAAGAGTTGAGGGACAGCACCCAGGCCCAGAGTTCAAGCCCCACAACCAACAACAACGACAATAACAAAAGTCTATATTGAGTGGAGTGGTATAGCTAATAATATGAGTTTCTATCTACCTCTGTACAGGTTACTCTGTGGCGGTACTACACAAGGCCTGTGGAGTTTCCTACATCTCTGGGGCTCCACGGTACAAACAACGTGGAGCAGTGTTTGAGCTTCAGAAGAAAGACAGAGAGGCTACCTTTGTACCAAGGCTGGAGGGAGAGCAGGTACCTGCTGCCAGTAGAGGCTTTGGGGACCCTAGGAAAAGAGATGAAGCCAACCTGGGCAAAACTTAGGCTCCTCGGTAGACGTTTGTGGCTCTGAGTGTCTGCCTGGTGGTCACAAAGTGACCTAGTGAGCAAAGTAGGTTACTTAGGAGGCTGAGATCTGAGCATGTCTATCAAAGCCAGTCTGAGCAGGAAAGCCTGTGAAATTGTTTCCAGTTAACCAAAGAAGTCCAAAGTGGAGCTGTGGTTCAAGTGGTAGAACACCAGCCTTGAGCAGGAAAGTTAAGGAACAGTACCCAGACCCTGAGGTTCAAGCTCAAGTACTGGTGTGCGTGTGTGTGAGTACACACACACACACACACACACACACACACCCTGATCTGGAACAATCCCACTTGTTGGTCCAAGAACTCTATAAGCAGGAACCTGGCATTACTGAGGGTTAGAGAGGCCACCCCAGCACTCAGCACCAAGTTTCTTCTGGGGTACAGATGGGGTCCTACTTTGGCTCTGAGCTGTGCCCTGTGGACGTGGACATGGACGGGATCACGGACTTCTTGCTGGTGGCTGCTCCATTTTTCCACATTCGTAGAGAAGAAGGCAGAGTCTACGTGTATCAACTACATGAGCAGGTGGGAGTGTCAGTTCTCCTGGTAACAGAAGGTAGCCATTACTCCCATTTTACAGATGAGGAAGTTCAGTGAGTCACAGTGATGTTGCCTAGCGAGTGTGAATGAGGGCCATGCCTGGAGCCCAGGCTTCCCAATGGCTAATTTAGCCCTCCTTCATGTAGGAGTCAAGGGGGTGTGGCTGGGGGGTCTTGATGTCAAGACGAGAGGACCTCAGTTTTACCATGGGCTCAGTGTGGAACCTTGAGAGTCCCTTACCCATCTGAGCCCTGGACCTGCCCCTGGAGGTAGGGAGGATGTCATGCATGACTTTCTGAGGGCTGCCTGCTTTGTGCTTTGCAGGATGGTTCCTTCTCCTTGGCACACACACTGAGTGGACATTTAGAGCCTGGTGGTGGCCGCTTTGGCTTCGCCATGGCCTCTGTGGGGGACATTAATCAGGACAGGCTTACAGACGTGGCCATCGGAGCCCCACTAGAGGGCTTCACATTGGACGATGGGGCTAGCTTTGGCAGCGTGTACATCTACAATGGACGCCGGGATGGCCTCCCTGCCAGCCCCTCACAGGTGACTTGGGAGCCTCTCCTGCCCTTCTCTGAAGCTCGTTACCTCTAAGTGGGGTTAGCTGAGACAGGTCAGCCTGAGAGCTAAGTGCTAGGCTGGCCATGAGTGGTTGGGAATGTCAGTAAAGACGAGGAGGTCACAAGGCTAGGGGGGGTCCAGGCCAGGCCTTCTACAGAACCTTAAGAGGGGGAGAAGTTGGGCCACTGTTCACTTTCCTGATCTATATCTCCTTGTTTTGCTACTTTTTTGGTCCGTCATGGGGTTTGAACTCTGGGCCTGGGTGCTGTCCCTCAGCTTTTCAGCTCAAGGCTAGCATTCTACCACTTGAGCCACAGTGCCACTTCCAGTTTTCTAGTGGTTAACTGGAGATATGAGTCTCACGGACTTTCCTGCTCAGGCTGGCTTTGAACAGTGATCCTCAGATCCCAGCCTCCTGAGTAGCTAGGATTATAGGCACGAGCCACCGGTGCCTGTCTTGTTTTGCTATTCTTGACCTGCCTCAGGTACCTCCCTCTCTGACTGGTCTTTGTTTCCCTCCCAACCCCATTATGCTTTACCTGACCCTGGGCCACTGCCAGCTTGGCTGCATGTTTCCTGGGCCCATCCTGTTTGCCAGCTGCTGACACCTCTTCCTGGTTGGCTCCCAGTCTTCTCACTCTCACACCGCCCAATGGAAGCCAGCCTCTCCCAAATTCCCATGGGCTCCATTCCTCTTTTTCTCCCCAACAGAAACCTGGGTCAGCCACTTGGACAGTCTCAGCCGAGCCTGTCAGTCTCCATGTACTACTGACTCTAGCTTTGTCCCAAACCCAGCTCCCCCCTTTTCATCCTCAACATCATAAGCCCAACTCAGGCCTGGCATCCCTCCCTGGGATTCCCAGCCCAGCCTTGCTCCTGGCTACTTTCTTCAGTGTCAACACTCCAGCCTACAGGAGCAACCCCTGGTAGACACTCCTCCCTTGGAGAACCCTCTCTTTCCTGATTCCTCCCTCTCCGCCCCCCCCCCCCCCCACTCAGTCTTCCTGGCTTCATTCAAATGCCACTTTGCTGCTTCTAGGTTGAAAGGGCTCCCTGGGGCAGGAAAGTGGGGGATGATGGAAACTCCCAGAAAACCAGGAAAGACCTCTTTCTCTTCTCTTTCCTTACCTCACACCATGTTTTGTTGTTTTTGCTTTTTCTTTCTTTCACAGAGGATCAGAGCCTCCACCATGGCCCCAAGACTCCACTATTTTGGCATGTCCTTGGCTGGTGGTTTGGATTTCAGTGGCGATGGCCTGGCTGACATCACCGTGGGCACGCTGGGCCGGGCAGCTGTGCTCTGGTAGGACAGGAGATCTGCCCTGCCTTCTAGCCCCAGCATCACCCCTGGCCTGCCCTTGATACAGCCACCAGCAGACATCAGGTCCTCAAGGAGGATGCCTGCTTTGAAGCACGGGAATTATGTGAAGGACAGTGTAGGGGGTAACATGGCTTGTGGTCGCTGTTTCTGCTGAATGAGAACCACTGTTCTCTAACCCTAGAGCTGTAAGAAAGCGGGAGAGCACCTGCCAGTCCTGTCCCAGCCAGCAAGCTCCTGGAGGCCATGTCTGTCTGTTCAGCACACTCTGGGGGACTGGTTACAGCAGCCTTGAGCATGTATACACCACCATGGAGCTCTTATTCCCTTCCCTCCTTCAGGCTTCCTGCCTCCTCAATGGCACCATCATCTACCCCATCCAGGACAAAAGCCCCAGTCAGCCTTGATTCCTTTTTTTTTTTGGTTAATCTAAAGGTGATGTACAGAGGGGTTACAGTTGCATAAGCCAGGTGATGAGTGCATTTCTTGTTGGACAAAGTCACCCTTCCTCCTTTTTCTTTCTCTACCACTCTGTCAACATTTTGTTGGTTGTGTCTCCAGAATACCTCCTAGAGCTGGACATGGCAGCTCACACTTGTAATCTTAGTGCTCAGGAGGCTGGGATCTAAAGATCCTGGTTCAAAGCCAGCCTAGGCAAAAAAAAAAAAAAAGGTCTGAAAGACTCTTATTTCCAATAAACAAGCAAAAAGCCAGAAGTAGGAGTATGGCCCAAGTGGTAGAGTGCCAGCCCTGAGAGAAAAGGCTAAGCAGGAATGCAAGGCCCTGAGTTTAGGCTCCAGTATAGGTACAAGCAGGTACGTGCACCCCTCCCCCCCCAATACGTACAAGTGTAAGAGACTGTTATCTCTTCCCAAGACCTCGCTCTCTGCTCCATCCCATGCAGTAGCTGAGGGACCTCTTCACTCCTCAATGGCTGCCATGTGAAGCCAAGTCCCAGTTCTTCATAGGAGCCTGATGTCTGTTGCTGGCTCCGTCTAAGCCCTCTGTCTCATACATTGTACTCCAGTCTTGCTGACCTTCAATCCAAACCCATTCCTGCCTCAAGGCCTTTGCACTAGCTGTAGTTTCTGCCTAGAATGTTCCTTGTCCCTCTAAGATCATGAAACTGGCTTTCATGTTAACTGACCAAAACTTCAGTGCCTCCTCATTGGATAGGTAAACCTCTGACTACACCATCTAAGAAGTCCCCAGTCTCTGTCACTTTGCCCTATTTTATTTTCACCATAATCAATACATACCCCTCTCCCCGCCCCCCCCCCCCCCGCCCCAGTTCTTATTTGCTTGTCTGCATCCCCATAGAGCAAGGATTTGTCTCTTCCTGCAGCCTGAGGTCTCAGAACTCCCATTCATTGAATGCGTGAATGAATCAGCCAAGCATGGCCCCAAGAGTTCAGTGCACACTTCTCATGGACCTCTTTGCTGTCTTGTTTAGCTCACGACCTGTGGTTCACCTGGAGCTGTCCATGAACTTCACCCCCAGTGCACTGCCCATTGGCTTTGGTGGCAGAGTGAATGTAGATTTGTGTTTTAAAATCATTTCAGCAACTGAGGCCACTGTGTCAGGTAAGGACATCCTTGCAGTCTGGCATGCTGTGCCCATTGTATGGTGGCTTGTGGCAGCCAGGGAAAGAGGGCAGGGTGAAGGTTGGTGTAGGCCCTGTGCCTGAGCTTCCTCTACTAGCCCTGAGCTCTTCTGTCAGTCTGAGATATCTGCCCAGCCTGAAAAGGGTGGTCCCGTGTCACACCCACATTGCTGGGAAGGAGTCCTTATTGGCTTGAAGGGAGGAGTTTCTTGTTAGTAAGCGCTAACCAATTGCGCAACTGGAGCTCTTTGAAGAGAGGAGTTTCTAAGACACAGAAAACCAGCTACTGCTTAGTCTCCATCTGCCTCTGCCTATGTGTATGCCTGAGAGGCTCTTAGGGGTACCCTTCCTCTATTCTCTGAGTTATATTTTCTCTGCTCCCCACATCAAGGCTTCCCAGCCAAGGTGAGATTGAATGGTCTGCTGGAGGCCAGGCCTCTCATTCATCCTGAGTTGGGAGACTTTCCAGGAGTGGCGAGGCATGGTTCTCAGGGCTGAAGTATCCACTGCCAATTCAAGTGCTCCCCTCTAGGCAGCATCTGGATAACAGTCGCCAGGGCATCATCTTTAGGAGTAATCCCAGAGATAGCCGACTGCAAGTCACAGAGCAGTCTCCTGGGGTGAGGGCCATTGTGAACTTGATACTAGAAAGTGACCTATTACTACACAGAGCCTGCTGTGTGACACTGGGCAGGTGTTTTTCCCTCTCTGTGCTCTGGCTTCTGTTTTATACAGGAACAGGCAGATGGCCCCGGCATCTCTAAGGCCTTTCTGTGCTCAGATTTTACTCTCTCTCCCTTCTTCTTCCTCCTTCTCCTTATTTGTTCACTGCCTCCCAACTTCCTGCCCTGTGCCTCTTTCCCTAAGGAGGACAGCCTCAGACTTGGGAATGGGCTGCACTGGTGAAGTCCAGAGCCCTAGGGATTGCCCACTGCCAGTACCAGAGGTGGTGAGAAATGCCCTTCCAAGTGAAGAACCTGGTGCTGGCCCCAGAAAAGGCCCTGCATGGTGCCCAAGCCCAGCAGGGGCTTGTGGAGTCTCAAGCAGGGTGGGGGTCTCTGCCTGAACCTTGCCAGGCCTTGCCGGGCCAGTCCCCTCAGGAAGCTGTGGTCCTCAGCCCCAGGCCTCAGAGAAGCTTTGCTCAACTTCACCATGGACGTGGATGCAGTGAAGCAGAGGAAGAGGCTGCAGTGTTCCCACATGACTGACTGTCAGGACCGCCTTAGGAACTGGACCAGCAGCCCCCTGCTGTGTGAGCATATCTGGCTCATCCCCACAAACGGAGAGGTAAGGGGAAGAAGTTAGACCAGAGTCCAGAGTGACCTGTGATGTTAACAAAAGATCCATGCACCTGGGCACTGGTGGCTCATTCCCATAATCTTCACTACTCAGGAGGCTGAGATTTGAGGATCACAGTTCAAAGCCAGCCCAGGCAGGAAAGTCTGTGAGACTCTTGTCTCCAAATAACTACCCAAAAAGCTGGAAGTGGAGCTGTGGCTCAAGTGGTAGAGCACTAGCTCTGAGCAAAAAAGCTCAGGGACAGTGCCCAGGTCCCAGAACTTGCAAAAAAATAAAAATAAAAATAAATAAAGTTCCATGCGATGCAGGACCCACACCAGTGCACACAAATAAAGTGATTAAAGTAATCCTAGCACACCATGCCACAGAATGGCATGAACATAGTAGATAATCATACCAGAAATTCAAATTAAAGCAACTTGGGCTATGAATTTAGCTCCTTGGTAGGGCATGTGCTTGGCATGTATAAGGCCTTGGCTTCTGTCCATAGCAATGAAAGCAAAACAAAACGAAACAAACAACAAGCAAGAAAACAAAAGCGGGAAGAAAAAAACCTACTAAAATTGAACACTATATCTCTGAACTTCTTGGAACTTGGACCTGGACAAAAAGGAAATGTTCTTATAACTGAAGAAAATTTTTCTGGTAATAAATTGGAAATGTTATACCAGGGGTTGGTGGCTCACACCTGTAATCCTAGCTACTTAGAAGGCTATGATCTGAGGATCAAGGTTCAAAGTCAGGCCTGGCAGCAAAGTCTCTCCAATTAACCAGAAATTGCGCCCCCCCCCAAGAAAAATCTGGAAGTGAAACTGTGGCTCAAGTGGTAGAGTATTAGCCTTGAGTGAAAAAGCTAATAGCACGCAGGCCCTGAGTTCAAGCCCCAGTACCAACACACACAAACACACACATACAGACAAATGTTCAGTATGTTAGTATGTTATCTAACCTCACTTGACAAGGACAGTAGGATAAATAGCTTTATACAAATCGGTATCACAAAAATTGAACAATAAACAGGAAAAATAGAAGTAATAATTTAGAAAATTTCTCCTCTCCTCTACAAGGTGTTCAGAGACATGAGAAAAAATTGTATTTGTCAGTAAGCAGAGCCTAAAAGGACCTAGAACTCTGAACCTACATGGATCATTTATTCCAAAAAACAAAATCCTGCATTCTGCTTCTGAGTGTATCTTCTCCCAAAGTGTTGGTTTAAAGATATTTATATCCATGGCCTTCATTAAATAAAAGCATGAGTACACTTCCACTGGAAATGTAACTCATTTATTCTGTATATTCAAAGCCCTTTTCTTGGTGGGAAGGCTCATTTAAAAAAGTATGGCAAATGGCATTCTCTGCTGACCCCTTATTTTCAGGGCTGTGGTGGGTGTGTATGTGTACCAGTACTATGATTTGAACTCAGGGCCTCCTACTGTTGTTCAGCTTTTTTTTTACTCAAGGCTGGTACTTTTACCACTTAACCTTTTTCTGGTTAATTGGAGATAGGAGTCTCAGAGACTTTTCTGCCCTGGCTGGCTTTGAACCTTTATCCTCTCAGATCTCAGCATCCTGCATAGCTAGGATTATTGGTGTAAGCCATTGATGCTCAGATTCTGACCTTCTGGGTAGCTAGGATTACAGGTGTGAGCCATTGGCATTGTGCTTATTTTCAGTTTTAACATGTTCAGTATGTTCTTCTACACAGATTTTGAGAAACATCTTTGAAAACTCAGATGTGACTGACTCTTCCCTCCCATAGCTCCTATTTGTCCTCCAAATAAAGTCCAGGTCAGTTCTGGGCATCAGAGGGCCACAATCCCTTAGTGATTGTTGATAGAACCAGAAGTCATAAGACCTAAGGCCAGGGCAGTTTTTCAATGCTCTTGGCAGCTTGCTCAAAGAAAGTTTTCATTCAGGCTGTATTTTTTCAGAAAATGCTTTAGGATTTCCAATTTACCGATTTCATTATTTCTTTTTATTTCTTGCTAGAAAAGCCTTTTATCATTTGGGCCATACCCAACCCCTTTGTTAATTTCTTTTTTTTTTCTTTTTTTGTCGGTCGTGGGGCTTGAACTCTGGGCCTGGGCGCTGTCCCTCAGCTCTTCAGCTCAAGGCGAGCGCTCTACCACTTGAGCTACAGCGCCACTTCCGGTTTCCTGGTGGTTTATTGGAGATAGGAGTCTCACGGTCTCTCCTGCCCGGGCTGGCTTTGAACCACGATCCTCAGATCTCAGCCTCCTGAGTAGCTAGGATTACAGGCGTGAGCCACCTTTGTTAATTTCTTAATGACTGTATCCAAGTGAGAGTCTTCTTGTTATCATTTTCTCCACATGTAATTCTGACCCTGCCTTCCATGGTGCTGTTGATCCTGCAGCTGTGTGAGGAGGACTGCTTCTCCAACATCAGCATTGTAGTCAGCTACCAGCTCCAGATCCCTGAGGGCCCAAGGGGCCAGCCCCACCCCATCCTGGACCACTACGTGAAGCCTTCTGCCATCTTCCAGGTGACTGCCATTCTGGGTCCATCTCACAAAAACACCTCCTCTCCTGACTTCATTTTTTTTTTCTTTTGTTGGTCGTGGGGCTTGAACTCTGGGCTTGGGCACTGTCCCTCAGCTCTCAGCTCAAGGCGAGTGCTCTACCTCTTGAGCCACAGCGCCACTTCCTCTCCTGACTTCAGTAAAGGCTAGAGTTGGGAAGGAGGGTCTTCAGGCCTCCTTCAGGAGACTTTGATAGGGTATGAATTTGCTCAATGGTAGGCAACAGGCCTCCAAACAATTCCCCGAGATATTCTCCTTTATGTTCACTATTTCACTAAGCTTATGAACATGGTGCATTCTGGGAGCATTGCTTGGTGGGGGCGTCTGAAGCTGGTGTGGTGGGATCTCCTGTGGGGTTTGGACTGGGCTGCCCCCATAGGGCCCATCCTATGGAGTGTCTGGTCCTTCCAAGGTTGCATCCAGACTTTCCTGGTGCTGTCAGTGCTGCTGAAACAGGCAGGTGATAGCACAGAAGCCTTTTCACAACTTAAAAGAATTGGGGAGGGGACAGGAGAAAAATAGTGGAGCTGCCAGATCCTTTGACACCTAAAGTGGCTGTATGACCAGGATTTAGGTCCTGGGTACCCTGACAGGCTTCATTTAGAACAGGCTTCATTTAGAACTTTTTAATGCAAGCATTAAAAAGTAGCCACTGGGGCTGGGAAGGTGGCTCAGTGGTAGAGCACTTGCCTTGCATGCTCGAGGCCATGGGTTCGATTCCTCAGCATCACATAAGAAAAAAGCCAGAAGTGGCGCTGTGGCTCAAGTGGTAGAGCACTAGCCTTGAGCTGAAGAGCTAAGGGACAGCACCCAGGCCCAGAGTTCAGGCCCCACGACTGGACCCCCGCCCCCCCCCCCCAAAAAAAAGTAGCTACTGCAGCTGGACATGGTGGCATATGCCTGTAGACACACCACATAGAAAGTCTAGGCAAGGAGATCATGAGTTCAAGACAAGACCATGCCTAAAAAGAAATAATTACAGTGAGTTGGGATAAATAAAAAGCAATGAGTATGCCAGGTGCCGGTAGCTCACACCTGTAATCCTAGCTACTCAGGAGGTTGAGATCTGAGGATCATGGTTCAGAGCCAGCTCAGGCAGGAAAGTCCATGAGACTCTTATCTCCAATAAACCACTAGAAAACCAGAAGTGGGGCTGTGGCTCAAGTGGTAGAGCGCTTGCCTTGAGCTGAAGAGCTCAAGAGGGATAGTGCCCAAGCCCAGAGTTCAAGTCCCACGACCAACCAAAAAAAAAAAAAAATCCAAAAACAAACAAACAGAAAACAATGCATATATCTGGATAGTCCTAGGACACTCGTAACTGTTCAGTATTTTTGTTGTTGGAAACATGGTCTCCCTATGTAACCGGAGCTGGCCTCATACTCAGCCATTCTCCGACCTCAGCCTCCAAAATACTGGGTTTGTAGGTGTATACAATCATGCACAGACTATCCAGTATGTGTGTGTATGCTCATACAGGGGCTTGAACTCAGGGCCTCATGCCCTTGCTTAGCTTTTATACTCAAGACTACTCAAGGCTGGTGTTCTTTTATCATCTGAGCCACATCTCTACTTCCAGCTTTTTGCTAATTAGACATAAGTGTTTCATAGATTTTTCTGCACAGGCTAGCTTCAAACAAGGATCTCCAGATCTCAGCCTCCTCACTACATAGGACCATAGGCAGGAGCCTCCAGTATCTAGTATCCAGGCTGTCCTGTATTTTTTAATTTTAAACATGCTCTGTGTTCATTAAGTTATACATAAGCTTTTAACTCCGGTTGTGATCAGTACCTAGTATATCATCCAGACATGGAGAACCAAGAGGAAAGCAACATAATCAGGTGACTGTCCCCACACCACATCCACATTGTCCAAGCATAAGAGACTAAGATTCTCTGTGAGTCAAGGTTAGCATCTTGACATATTAGGCAAAGAGTATCTTAAATGTATAATAGGGTGTTTTTTTTTTTTGTCGGTCATGGGACTTGAACTCTGGGCCTGGGCGCTGTCCCTCAGCTCTTCAGATCAAGACGAGTGCTCTACCACTTGAGCTACAGCGCCACTTCTGGTTTTCTGGTGGTTTATTGGAGATAGGAGTCTCATGGTCTCTCCTGCCCGGGCTGGCTTTGAACCATGATCTTCAGCTCTCAGCCTCCTGAGTAGCTAGGATTACAGGCGTGAGCCACCAGTGCCTGGCAGGTGTTTTTGTTTATTTGGGTTTTTTTTTGCTGTTGTTGGCCATGGGGCTTGAAGTCAGGGTCTAGGCACTCTCTGAGCACTTTTGCTCAAGGCTAGCACTCTACTACTTTGGGCCACAGAGCCACTTCTAGTTTTCTGTGGTTAATTGGAGATAAGAGTCTCATGGATCTCCCTGCCCAGGCTGGCTTTGAACCATGTAGGTTTACAGGTATGAGTTATCAGTGCCCAACAGGTGTTTGTTTTTAAAAGTTTTAAAACTGTGGTATTGACAAGTTAACTAATGTAGAAAAAGACTAAAGCCAGGTGCTGGTGGCTCATGCTTAGCTACTCAGGAGGCTGAGATCTGAGGATTGCAGTTCAAAGCCAGCTGGGGGAGCAAAGTCTATGAGACTCTTATCTCCAATAAACCACCAGAAAACTGGAAGTGGCACTGTGGCTCAAGTGGTAGAGCACTTGCCTTGAGCTGAAGAGCTCAGGGACTGTGCCCAGGCCCAGAGTTCAAGTCCCACAACAGACCAAAAAAAAAAGACTAGAAAAACTAAAGTCATAGAGTTTTGGTGGTTTGTAGATTAGCATTAGATGGTATTTTCTCTTGAAACAAACAAAAAAGCAAAGAAAATCTTTACTTTGAAATATTCAACTTACCAGAAGTCATGAAGATTCATGCAAAGTCAAGTGGCTGGTGCCTGTTGTCCCAGCCTCTCAGAAGGCTGAGGCAGATCACTGGCGCTCAGGAGGTGAAGGTCAGCTTGGCCAACATAAAATACCATCTCAAAATTTAAAAAAAACAACAGTCCAGATAGTTTATTTGGAAGTTACAGAAATTATGCCTTTTTATCTTCCACACTTCAGTGTATATTTCCTAAAAATAAGAGCATGTTCCTACACAACACAGTATGATGAAAACCAGATTAATACTTATAAAATACTACTGAACCTCAGATTTAGGCTGTGTGTTTTTGGTAGGGTTGTCACAGAAGTTATGTCCTTAGGATGTCATTACCTCAGGAAGTACACGGAATCAAGTGATCCCATCACTGGGGCTATTTCCTCTGTAATAAGTATTATGTTGAGCTGTTTTAACAGTATGTATGCATCTAGCTTGACATGTATTTCCTATGATGGTTTGGGAAAAAGATTTAGTGTATTTGTGTGTTTGTGTGTGTGTGCTGGTACTAAGGACCTGGAACTGTCCCTTAGCTTTTTTGGTAAAGGCTGGTGCTCTACCAATTGAGCCACAGCTCCATTTCTGAGCTTTTTCCTTCATTATAAAAATAGACAGTTACTTTAGCAAATCTAATTCAGTTCAAATTGGGGATTTTCAAGCTTGAAGGGAGCTTTTGAGCCAAACATGACTTCCTGAATTAATCTGTGATACATAAACAAGATTGTTAACTTACAGAGAAGACTGGCCAAGGAGAGAACCCATAGCATTTTTTCTTTCCTTCTTTCCTTCCTTCTTTCCTCCCTTCCTTCCTTCCCTCCCTCCCTCCTTCCTTCCTTTTCTCTTGGGGTGGGCTTAATATCTGATCGGAGGGCTGGGAAGTTGGCTCAGTGGTAGAGTGCTTGCCTTGCATGCATGAGGCCCTGGGTTCAATTCCTCAGCACCACATAAGCAAAAAGATAAAAGCCGGAAGTGGCGCTGTGGCTCAAGTGGTAGAGTGTTAGCCTTGAGCTGAAGAGCTGAGGGACAGCGCCCAGGCCCAGAGTTCAGGCCCCACAACCGGACCCCCCCAAAAAAAATCTGATCGGGTGACTCCTATTCCTGCCCTGCTCTCCTGACTGTCCTTGAAAAGACTACAGGCAGGTTTTTCCTGTCCTTATGATGGCACTAGTGAGGATCGTTATGGGAATTACTGCTTAGTGCATATGATATGTATAATTCCATGAAGGGCACCACATGCTTTACTTTGGCCAGTGGCCAAAGTGGTATGTCCATGTTATAGGCCAGGTCTGTGAATATCTTTGTTGGCTGTCCTGGTTGTGTGGAAACATCCCAGCATCAGCCTTTACTCCTAATTGTACTTAAGACAGGAGACAGGAGAGCCAAATATCCTCAGAAGGTTAAGAGGCAGGGCTGCTGGGAAAGTTGAAGCCTCTTTCACCTCACTGACCCTTGCTCCTCTGGTTACAGCTGCCCTATGAGAAGGCCTGCAAGAACAAACTGTTTTGCATTGCTGAGTTCCAGTTGGCCACCACCATCTCTCAGTGAGTTTGATCCTGTCTTTATAGTTAACTTCATCCTGGGCAAACACCTCCTGGAGCCATTACATAGTCCCTTCTACCCTCACCCCTTTCCCATGGAGCATTGGCATTGATTATCTCATTGATACGGAGATATGAATTCTTATTTTATAGGTCAGAAATCTGACTCACCAGGCTCTGGTGGCTCATGCCTGTAATTCTAGTTACTCAGGAAGCTGAGATCTGAGGATTGCACTTTTTTTTCTTTCTGTTGCTCATGGGGCTTAAACACAGGGCTTGGAAGTTGTTTCTGAGGCTTTTTAGTTCAAGGATGGCTAGTGCTCTACTATTTTGAGCCACAGCTCCACTTCCGGTTTTCTGGTTGTTAATTGGAGATAAGAGTTCTCATGGACTTTCCTGCCTGAGCTGGATTTGAACTGTAATCCTCAGATCTCAGCCTCCTGAGTAGCTAGGATTATAGGTATGAGCCACCAGTGCCCAAGGATTGCAGTGGTAGAAGTCCTGCCTTGAATGAAAAAACTAAAGGGCAGCTTCCAGACCCTGTGTTCAAGCCCCAGTACTAGTGTGTGTGCACACACACTCAAAAAAAGAACTGAGGGCTGGGAAGGTGGCTCAATGGTAGAGCGCTTGCCTTGCATGCTTGAGGCCCTGGGTTCACTTCCTTAGCACCACATAAGCAGAAAAAAAAAGCCTGAAGTGGCGCTGTGGCTCAAGTGGTAGAGTGGTAGCCTTGAGCTGAAGAGCTGAGGGACAGAGTTCAGGCCCAGAGTTCAGGCCCCACTACTGGACCCCAAAGAAAAAAAAAAAGGAAAAAAGAACTGGACTGATAAGGCAAGCTTGGACATGTAGTTGTCTTAAAAATCCTTTTCTGGCAACTAGTGCCATGTGTATATCATGACACTGATAGCCAGTTGGCCAGAGTTGGCATCTGTGGGGAAGGACACTTTCTCAAGTCCTGGTAAGCCCTCTCAGGCTCACATTTTAGATGTGGACAGCTAAATACTGCCCACTGAGAACCCAATTCATGACCTTCGAGTGCTTTGGAACACTGTCCAATGAGCAGACACAGCTGTTTTTAACAGGGAATTAATTACAGACATAACTACTGTTTAGCTAATTCCCTGTGAAATGAAGCACACACAAAGCTTGCCCTGCACTGCCCTCTAGCGGATAGCATGCCTTTGACTTGCAGACATGGACCTAATGAAAACTATAGGCCCTCTCCTTAGGAGAACACATGTGCATCCACATCCATAAATGCTTGCATCCTAAATCCTTCTGAAACTGTCACTCAGATTAAGAAACTCTGCCACATATTCTAGTGATGCTCCGATCTCTTTGTAGGAGTCTAGAACAGTATAACCAACCTTTAGCACTTCTACCTTTTTATCCTATAGGCATCTCTGCTCATGTCTCACACTGAACTCATCTTCCTCCATCCTGGGGTCTCTTCCTGTGTTCTCTTCCCTGGTGAAAACCATCCAAACTAGATGTTCCAAATGTGTCCTTTTGTCTGTGTGTGTGTGTGTACACCAGTCCTGGGACTTGCACTCAGGGCCTAGGCATTGTCCCTGAGCTACTTCTGCTCAAGACTGCACTCTACCACCAGAGCTACAGATCCACTTCTGGCATTTTCGGTGATTAACTAGAGCTAAGTCTCACAGACTTCCCTGATGGGGCTGGCTTCAAACCATGATCATCAGCTCTTGGCTTCTTGAGTAGCTAGGATCACAAGTGCGAGCCATCGGCCCCTGGCTCCAAATTTGTCCTTTAATCCTCTCTCTGATCTCCCAGCTTTATCATCTCTGATTTTCCTCCCTGCTTACATCTCCACTACTGCTGTCTTAATGCAGGCATGTATCTACTGTCTCTTGCATGGATTTCCATAGTAGGCCCTGTCTCTATCTTTCCCTCAACCAATTTCAGCTGTGATAAAATAAAAACACAACAAAACAGTAACAAAAGATATGCCACATCACTTCCCAGATTTGCATATCCCATCTTTAGACATTAAAATTGTGCTTGTCCTGGGGCTTGAACTTGAGGCATTGTGCTTTTGCTTGACTTTCTCACTCAAGGCTAGTACTCTATCACTTGAATCCACACCTCTACTTCTGGCTTCTTTCTGGTTAATTGGAGAAGAGTCTCTTGGATTTGTCTGCCTAGTATGGCTTTGGACTTCAACCCTCAGATCTCAGCCTCCTGAGTATTAGGATTACAGTGCCTGGCCATTTTTGGACACTGCAAATAGTTAAAATTGTTTCCTTGTTTGGTGTAGTAGTGCATGTTTGTAATACAACACACAGAAGGGTGGACAGGAGGATCAAGAGTTCCAGTGTACTACAAAGCAAGATCCTGTCTCAGAAAACCATTGTGCTGTTACTATGTTGTCCTACTATGTTGTCAACTACTTAAGTCTCTTGGCAGTCAGGGGAAGTTCTTTTTTTTTGGGGGGGGGGGGGTCCTGGTCATGGGGCCTGAACTCTAGGCCTGGGCCCTGTCCCTCAGCTCTTCAGCTCAAGGCAACCACTCTACCACTTGAGCCATGTAGCACCACTTCCAGCTTTTTTCTTTTTGCTTATGTGGTGCTGAGGAATCGAACCCAGGGCCTCAGGCATGCAAGGCAAGCACTCTACCACTGAGCCACCTTCCCAGCCCCATGGGAAGTTCTTATATATTCCAAAGGCTTCTCCTCTCCAGGCTGAACAGACTCATGTTCTTAAACAGTAGCCTTTGAATTGGAAGGGTCTGAGTGACTTAGTGAGAAAGCTGAGGCCAACAAAGAGGGCTCCCTGAGACAAAGGCAGAACTGTGTCTAAGGTACTCTGTTCTCCAGCACTGAGCAAGCAGCTGGCACATATTCAGGGCTCCAAAAACCTTTGTGGAACAGGTACATTTGTGTCACAGAGGACCTTGTCTAGGGTGAATTGTTCTTAGAAAATCTGGACTGAATTCTTCGTTCCTTTCTCTTTTCTTTCCTTCCTTCTCCTTTCTTTCCCTTCCCTTTCCTTTCTTCTCTCTTTCTTGCTTGAACTGAGAGTCCTAGGTGCTGTCCCTTAGCTTTATTTTTGCTCAAGGCTATCCGTTGAGCTACACATTCACTTCTGGTTTTTTGATTAATTGGAGATAGTTTCATGGACTTTTCTGCCTGGGCTGGCTTCAAACCTTGATCCTCAGATCTCAGCCTCCTGAGTAGCTAGGATTATAGACATGATTTCTGTAACTTTCTTTGGTGGCTACTAGACCTCAGGTGAATTGACCTCTCTTTGCTTGTTTTCTCTTCTGCAAAATAGAGTAGTGGTACTATTTTGTAGGGTTATTATGGGGATTGGGCATATGAGGCACAGTGTTTGGCATCTGGAATATGATTGCACTAAATGGTGTACATTATAATCTCACCTAGCAACTCCAGTGGGTGTAGTATCCAGGTGTGTGCTTCTGTTGAGGGGGAGAAAATGTAAGCTGAATGCATTGTTTAAGCTGGGCACAGATAGTTTACACCTTAAATCCTAGCTTTTTGGGAGGCTCAGATGGGAAGGATTGTTTTGAGGCCTGCCTGGGCAGAAAAGTTATTGCAACCCTATCCCAAAACAAACAAAAAACAGGGTTGGAAGTGTGCTTGAGTGGTAGAGCACCAGCCTAGGAAATGTGAGGTCCTGATGTCAAACATCAGTACCACACACATAAAAGAGAATCCTTAAGGCAATTTAGCTAAGAATATGCTATCCTAAAGCTGGGTGGTGGTGGCTCATGCTTGTAACCCTAGCTACTTAGGAGGCTGAGGTGTGATGATTGAGGTTCAAAGCCAGCCTGGGCAACAAAGCCATAGAGCTGTGGCTCAAGTAATAAGAGTGCTAGCCTTGAGCAAAATAAACCTCAAGGACAGTTCAAGCTCCAAGACTGGTGAGTGCGCACATATATACAGAGACACACACTGTTATCCTACTGTATTGAAGCTTTGCAGATTGCATACAGGTAATGTTTTTATCTTCACCTATACAGGCAAGAGCTGGTAGTGGGTCTCACCAAAGAGCTTACCATGAACATCAGCCTAATGAACTCTGGGGAAGACTCCTTCATGACAAGCATGGCTTTGAGTTACCCCCAAAACTTACAGTTTAAGAAGATGTGGAAGGTATGAGAGCAGCTCTGGAAGCATGTTCACTTGTGCTTCCTTTGCTGTGTGCCTGTTTTTCTTTTAATTTTTTGGTACTACTACTGTGGCTTGAACTCAGGGCCTGGATGCTGCCCCTTAGCTGTACCACTCGAGGCACACTCCTCTTTTAGCTTTTTGATGGTTAACTGGAGATGATTCTCATGGACTTTTCTGCTTGGGCTGGCTTCAAACCATGATCCTCAGATCTCAGCCTTCTGAGAAGCTAGGATTACAGGTGTGAGTCACCAGCACCTGGCTGAGACTGATACTTGAAGTTGTATCAGTAACTATGAAATCATTTCTCTCTTGCCTGGAGAAACTATGTCACTTTACAAAGAAGCAGATTGAATTTCTTACAGAGCTTCAGATAAAATGTTCTGGACAGCCAGGCACCGGTGGCTCACACCTGTAATCCTAGCTTCTCAGGAGGCTGAGATCTGAGGATCATGGTTCAAAGAGAGGCTGGGCAGGAAAGACCATGAGACTCTTATCTCCAATAACCGACTAGAAAACTGGAAGTGGCACTGTGGCTCAAGCGGTAGAGCGCTCGCCTTGAGCTGAAGAACTCAGGGACAGTGCCCAGGCCGATTTCAAGCCCCTTGACCAAAAAAACAAATGTTCTGGACACAGCTTTCATCTGTAATTAATCATCAGTGGACCACTCCACAGTCTAGACCTGTCCCAGACTGACCCCTTTATACAGCCCTGCTTTGCTATTAAAATAGCTTTATTCATGCTTTACCCGAGCTCCAGTCATTCCTAGAATCCCTTAATAACTATCTGATGCCACAATGCAGTTTCCTAATTGCAGTGCCTCAATAAATTTCACTCCATTGCAATGATAGTGTAGCATCCCCAGGGGTTGGTCCTAGGCTATTTGTGCTGTCATTTTGACAAAGTGAAGCAGACTAAGTTTCTATCTTATATACTTAAGGTAAATGGGACATTAATCCACAGCCCAGTACCAAAGCAATATGCCCTTCCAGTGAGGATTGTAGTCAACCTAGCTAGAACCAACCTCCTGCCATTTTTGCTCTCTGCTGCTGTCACTGAACCAACTTAGGCATTTTATCTAAACTCTACTTTATTCAGGCACCTGTGGCTTATGCCTATAATCCTAGCTTCTCAGGAGGCTGAGATCTGAGGATGGAGGTTTGAAGCCAGACCAGGCAAGAAAGTCCTTGAGACTCTTATTTCCAATTAACCACCTAAAGAAAAAAGAAAAGTTGCAAGTGAGCAGTGACTTAAGTGGTAGAATAGTATCTTTGAGCAAAAAAGCTTGGGGACAGTGCCCAGGTCCCAAATTTGAGCCCCAGCATGACACAAAACAAAAACACCTCTTTAGCTTTCTCCCACTGAGCTCTCTTGCCCAGCTTGTGAGGAAGACTGGGTCCCCAGCTCTGGCCATATCATCTGGCATGTAGAAAATCAGTGAATGATTATTAAATTTGTGTTAGGAAATATTTTCTCTTTTGCTTCTTAAGAACAGCATCTCCTTCTGTGTTAACAGCCTTTCTCTCCAGACATTCAGTGTGATGATCCAGTGCCAGTTGCTTCTGCTCTGGTCATGAACTGCAAGATTGGCCACCCCATACTCAAGAAGTCGTCTGTGAGTCTATTGGATAAGCTGGCTCTTCTTCCTACCTGAAGTCAGTGCTGTCCACACCTGAGCCTCACTCAGGTCTTTCAGCTGTGGCCACTGTGCTTCTCTCAGCAGTGCTCAGGACTGCTAGAATAGCTCTGAAAGTGGCACGATGGGTGGGGATAGTTTCTCAAAATACATCCATAGCTTAGTGTCGGTTCATCCCAGGTATGCAAGTGTGGAAGGGCATCAAATCAAATGATCTGTCTGCAGCAGAAAAGGGTTGATTGCCAACTTTACTCTGCATTTGCACTTGAGGCTTACTTGCAATTATGGATGTGGAGTGCAGGGTGTTAACATGTATAGAACTAACACTTTTCCTAGCTCTGTTTAATTAGTAAGCGGTTGGATTGTGAACGGTATCAAGTGACTATTTCTCTCTCTTTAAAACAGGCAAATGCCTCAGTAGTTTGGCAGCTAGAGAATGCCTTCCCCTTCCCCAACAGGACAGCAGACATCACTGTGACAATCTCCAAGTAAGTAGTGCCTGCGACACAGCACACAATAACATATGTGATATGACTGCTATCATAACCCTACTGCCCAGAGAGCAGAGAAACCTCAGGGAGCCTCTGTATCCTGACAGTGACTCTGTCTTCTCTTCTTGTTATCAAAGATATCTATGTATGTATGTATGTATGTATCTTTCTTTCTTTGCTCATTTGGCTTTTGCACTCAAAGTTAGCACTTTACCACTTGAGCCACACATCCATTTCTGACTTTTTGGTGATTAACTGGACATAAAAGTTTCTCAGATTTGTCTGCCTGAGCTGGCTTCAAACAATGATCCTCATATCTCAGCCTCCTGAGTGACTAGGATTATAGGCATGAGCCACCAATGCCCAGCTAGCAAAGATTCCTAGTTATGGTTTTAACTTAGGAGTAACTGTCATCTGCCAATCCCCTTGTATAGGGTAGGATGTTGTATGGTGTCAGGGTGATTCTGCTCCTCAGAGACAATGTCTGGAGGCATTTTTGATTGTCATGACTGAGGAGGTACTACCAAGGACGTTGCTAACCATCATACAAGATACAGGGCAAGTCCACAATGAAGAATTATCTGGCCCACAATGTGAACAATATTGAGGCTTAAAAAGCCCATTTAGTCAGGTGGCTTACACCTGTAATACTTAGGAAGCTGAGATTTGAGGATCTAAGTTTGAAGCCAGCCCAGGCAGGAAAGTCTATGAGACTTATCTCTAATACCAAAAAAGCCCTAAGTGGAGCAGTGGTTCAAGTGGTAGAGTGCTAGCTCTGAGGAAAAAAAGGCTCAAGGACAGCACCCAGCCCTGAGTAAAAAAATTAGCTGGGCACTGGTGGCTCATGCCTGTAATCCTAGTTACTCAGGAGGCTGTGATCTAAAGATTGTCATTTAATGCCAGCCCAGGCAGGAAAGTCCAATTAACCACCAGAAAACCGGAAGTGGCACTGTGGCTCAAGTGGTAGATGCTTGCCTTGAGCTGAAAAGCTCAGGGACCTAACCCAGGCCCAGAGTTCAAGCCCCACGACTGACCAAAATACAAAAAAGTAAAAAAGTTAATACTTTTTAAGGGTGGTTTCCTATTTAGTCACTTGTTTACATTTGTATTTCCAGTTCTGAGGAAAGGTCTTTGGCCAGAGAGACTCACAGTCTTCAATTCCGGCCTGCCTTCACTGCTGTTCTCCCCAGGTAAGAACTTCCAAGGGGGCTGATGCCTGTGTAATTCTTCACACAGGAGAGCTTCAGGCCTGTGATGGACCTGCTGGCAAGGTGATACATGGTCCTTGTCGTCTCTGAAGCATCTGACACTGATCTAGGACACTAATGTTTAGGTTCTAGACACTTCACAGTGGTCATCAAAAAGAGCCCTGCCAGACCAGGGTGCTGGTGGCTCACATCTGTAATCTCAGCTACTGAGTAGGCTGAGATCTGAGGATTGTGATTCAAAGCCAGCCCAGTCAGGAAAGTTCATGAGACTCTTATCTCCAATTAACACGTTCCCCCCCCCCCCCCCCCCCCCCCACCGACTGTGGAGCTGTGGCTCAAATGGTAGAGCACTAGCCGTGAGCACAACAGCTCAGGGTCAGCACCTGGGCCCAGAGTTCAAGTCCCAGGCCCAGCAAAAAACAAACAAAAATTACCAACTATTTTTCTTTTTTTTGTCGGTTGTGGGGCTTGAACTCTGGGCCTGGGCGCTGTCCCTCAGCTCTTCAGCTCAAGGCGAGCGCTCTACCCCAACTATTTTTCTATAAGAGGGAACAGATACGATGGTATGGGTGGAAAAGGACTATAGGGCTAGAAATTAGGAAGACCACTGTGAGTAGTGATCATTATAAACAAACCAGCCCAACTAGACACAATAGTCTACTTCACCCCAACCACCTTATAAACATTTTAAACTGACATTCAATTTTGATTCCTTTTAAGGGGCTGGTACTCTCTATACTAGTATATACAGTTCAATACACTCAAAAAGGAGAAGGAGACTTTGAGGCTTAATGTATTTTCTCTTAATTGCAGACCATCAGTGGTATACATGAATGCAAGCCTGGGACTTTCTGAACACAAAGAATTCCTTTTCAGTGTGAGTGCTTAGTGCTTGTTGCAAAGCAACACTACCAATGATTTTTCCTTCCTCCTTTCCCTTCCTGTTTGAAGCATCTCAGCATCTCAGGCTGGTCTCAAACTTATGCTCTCGGGCCTCAGTGTCCTGACTGCTGAGGTCACAGGTATGTGCCACCATACTTACTCTCCTGCTCTGATTTGACAGATACATGGAGAAAATGTCTTTGGAGCCAAATTCCACTTGCAAATTTGTGTCCCAATTAAATTACAAGGTCTCCAGATTGTAAGAGTGAAAAATCTGACAAAAACTCAGGTATGTAAAAGTGATTCTTTATCACAAGCACATCTTTCTAGTGTATTTATAGATCTCAACAATATAAAAACTAGAACTTTAGGGGAAAAAAAAGGTTAATAGCTGAGTATGACTGTAATCCCAACACTCAGAAGGCTGCCTAAGATAGGCAGATCATGAGTTCAAGGCTACATAGTCAAACAAACAACCCCCTACACCGATCAATCAACAACAAAAAAATCAAGATTAATTAACCAGGGGAAAACAGAAGGAATATTGATTACTCACCTCTTAAAACATTTCTTTTCCTCACTTTGATAAGAAGCAAAATTTCCAACATTATTAGTAACCATGAAAATGTTTATTTCCCTTTTGAAAATTGAAATTCTGCTTTGAGAACTTGAAAAACATCCCACACTTCCCTCTATAAATTGTCTTCCCTTTCTCTCCCTCTAGTCTTTCCTAAAGCCTCTTTGCTTTCAGTTGACTATCTTTTGTCCAGTTCCCAAAGGCAGCCTAATACCTAAAGCAGCAACTCAGCCTAACAGCTGAGGCCTGGGCTTTCCTGATTGTTCGCACTTTGCTCAGGCTACATAAAAGATCAAGGCTCAAAAACAAAAATATGCACTTTACAGATGGATTTTGCTGACAAGTAGGAAGCAGACTTACAGGTTGTAAATACTTGTTCTCATAGGTAGTTTAAAGAACATCTGTTAACAACAACCTTAACCAACTCAACCAAAATTTCAGTTTCCACCCTGAGATTCGGGATGGAAACTGAAAAACCGCACCAGAGGCTTCAAGACCAGGACCCCTCTGTTTAAGGGAGTAAGATACACTGGCTTACTGAAACAGACTGTGTTGGCAGAGCAAGTCAGTGGCAGATCTGAAGTTCAGCGCTGTCTTGTGGAAATGTTGGAGCTTCTTCTTCATTTGCTTCATGGCAGGGGTGTTACATTTGGACTTAAAGGTCATTTGATTCAGAATCTTGTCTGTGAGGTAATGTAGCCAGAGGACATTGTTGTAAGGGTGATATTCATCCCAACAGTTGTTGTTCTCCCTCCTCATGAGCCTGTAGATCTCAAACTGGTAGTCACCTTCACCTGTAAATAGCTCTTCATCTGTGGAAATGTCACAGAAAACAACAATCCCATCCCGCTCCACGCGGGACAGGGTATAGTCAATGATGTTGACTTGCAAACCATGGGTGGGAATGGCGTTGGTCTTTCCATTGAGGGTGTAGTGGAGTTCCTTGCGGTTGGTTTTCTTTAAGAGCACATTTCCCCAGTGCAAGTCCCGGTGCTCAAAGTTCAGTGATGTCTCTGCCACTGCGAGGGAGGCAGTGATCTGGTGTAAAATGCTCTTTGCAGTAGCAAGGGAGGACAACTTTGTTTTCATTTGCTCTAAGTCCATGCCACCAAACTCAAATTCCAGTATAATGAAGAGTTGGTCTTCCTCAAAAATGTCAGGCCTATCATTCTGAGACCCTTTGGTTGAGTTATAGTGATCCCAGGCCTGGAGGAGCAAGGGAGGGTAAGACCCCTGGACACAGTGCACTGAGTTCAACCCAATAAAGCCTTCTGTGCGGTTGCATGCCTCATCAGACAAGAGGCTTAACTCTTTGGAAATGATAATTTCTGGCAGGATTTCCTCAAAGGTTTTCTGATGTGATCCATTCACTAAATTTGATCCTTCAATGGCAATGATTTTTAGTGCTACAGGTGTTTGGCCAGCCATTGTCTGAAACACCTCACCAAACACCCCTTCCCCAATCTTCTCACAGTGTTCCAGTTTTTCTATGGGAAAGCAAGAGCTAAAGGGGATAGGACCTTCCTGATTGCATTCCCCATACACCTTTTCAGCATCAGATGCCTTTCTGTCTGGAACATGTACAGTCTTTAAGGGGCTTAGCAAATGCATAAAAGAGGAATGCCAAGAGAAAAGTGCACTATTCGTTCTGTTCATGATAGAAGGGCTTGAACACTCTGATAGGGATGCTGAGAGAGAAGTGGCCATGGTGTGGCTGCTGCATACCTCTGACACATCAGTCACAACTTTCTTCTTGTGGAGGTTTAAGGAGGCCCTGGTTTTGGCCCAAGAGCAGGCTTTGTCTCGATGAGTCACATTCTCGGACAGGAACGAATCTCTTCCCATCTTTGGGCCGTTTTCAGTCTGGTGATAATGGAGAGCGGAGGTCTCCATACCTTCTTGATGTTTCCTTTTCCGGCTTGGGCGGGCTCTCACAGGCCTGTCGACTTCCCCAGGTGAGTTAAGTCCCCGGCAGCCTCTGGCCCCCCGGTCTGCGGCCCGGCTCTTCCTTGTGCTCGGGCCCTCCAGTCCCTCTCGCTGCCGCGGCCCCGTGGCGTCCTCGGCCGCGGGCCCGCACTCAGCGCCCTCTAGGCTTCCCAATAAATCTGTGGGGCTGCGGGGGGCCGGCCGGGGGCCGCCGCGCGCTCCGCGAGTCTCCCGGACGACACTGCCTCCTCCCGTGGCCGGGAAGGGTGCGGGGAGGCGGCGGCCGCGCGGGGCTGCATCCAGCGAACCCGGGGACCCAGATGGGGCCGGCGAGCTGAACAGGGAGGCGCTGGGGTCCAGGGCGCCGCCGCCCCCCGGCAGGCCGCACAAGCCGGGGTCTCGGCCGGGGCTGGGGCCCGGGAAGGGCGGCGGGCGGCGCGGGCCGCACGGAGTGCTGCACTGCTGCGGGGGCCGCGCTCGTAGCCTCGGGCGCCAAGGCCGAGCGGTCACCGTGCGCCGGGACCGGGTCTCCCGCCTGCGGGGCCGGGCCTCCGGGCTGCCGCGGAAGTCGGGATCGTCGGGGTCGTCGGAGGCGACGGACGGGGACGACGCTTCGCTGCTGGCGCTGCTGAAGAAGCGCCCCCGGTCCTGCGGCGAGAACCAGTGGACGGCCGCCTCGCAGGGCCGTCGCCGCAGCCTCCCGCCGCCCCCGGCCCCGTACGTGCGGAGCAGCCGGCTCCCCGGCGGCCGGAACGACGTAGCCATGGCCGGCGCCCGCCGAACAGTTCAAACTCAAACACCGCGAGACTGGCAGCGGCGCGCGCGCGTTTCCGCCGCCGCCCGCCCCGCCTCCCGCGGTCCGGCGGGCGCCGCCGGGGGCGCTCGTGGGGGGTGTGCTGGGAAAGACAGACCAGGCCCGGGGGTCGGCAGATGCCGCCAGGAGGCGTTCGCGGGGCGTGCTGAGAACAGGGCAATGGCTCTCGTTTCAGGAACGCACCGTCTGCGCCCAAGCCCAGGAGCGCGCCTGCGGGAGCGGGAGTGGTGCCGCCCAGGTGAGCCCCGCCACCCCGGACGGCGGAGAGAAGGCCGGGGTGTGGTGGGGGGGGGAAGGCCGCGGGAGGTCTGGGAAGGATGGAGAAGGCTGAGGAAGGGCTGGGAAGGCTGGGGGAGGGCTGGGAAGGCTGAAGACGGCTGGGAGACGGTCTGGGGGAAGATCTGGGACAAGTCTGGGACCGCTGGGTAAGGCTTAGAGGGTGTGACGGGGAAACCAGGCTCTACTCCCTGCAAGGCATCTACAGGATGGCTTGGCCAGGCCCACCTCAGCCTCTTCTTGGAGTCATGTTTGCCAGGTGTGACTAGGAGCACTCAAACTGCTCACACCCTACATTTTAGGATCTCAAAGACAATGTGTCCTAAATGTTAAACACTTTAGACTAGGCTGGGGGCATGGCTTCAGTACACTAGCAGTTATGGAAAAAGCAGAGCAAGATCAAGGTAACTCGTTTTTTCCTGAGGGATTATACTACCAAGCTTTTGTCTTCCCAGCACGTGGAGCAATGGCATCTAGTAAGCTGTGCCATCACATCAGATAAAGAAAATGTAACTGTGGCTGCAGAGATCTCCTTGGGTCATGCTAAGCAGGTATTTGACACTGAAATGCTCCAGATTTGCTTTTCCAGGAAAACAGCATATGAAATGTAATGTCAAAAATAGGCCTCCTGATACATCTTCTGTCCCAACCTGCTCCTTAGCCAATCACTCAGGCTACTCAGTAGGTAATTTACAGTAGGAAATGTGGGAATTACCTGCCGCTCCTTCCCATCTTGCATACCCATATCTATTCCAGCAGCAGGCTCTTCCATTTTAGAACATTCACTTCTTCTGAAGTGAATGAATGTTCTTCTAGAACATTCACTTTCTGCCATGTCTACTACTCTTACAGTCACCATCTCTTGATGGGGCTATTGCAGTAACCTTGCACCTGCTTTCATGGCCTCTGCCTTTCTCTAACTTCTACAAATAAATTTTTTTATTGTGAAAATACTGTACAGAGGGGTTACAATTACATGGGCAAGATAATGAGTACATTTCTTATCAAGCATTGTAGCCTCCTCCTTTGTTTCCCCTTCCCATCCCTTCCCATCCTCCCCCTGTCCCCCCACCCAATCCTCCCCCTCTACAAATAATTCTTCACTTGACAACTACCCATCTTCTGAAAGCAAACATTAGATTGTGTCAGGCCCCTGCTGAAAGAAAAAAAAAAAGAAAGAAAGAAAAAGGAGGGAGGGTAATTGTAAGTGTAAAGAGTACCTGACTAAAAGCAGTGCAGTTTGAACATAGACTAAAATCTATGTTTTTCCCCCATGATCTGCAAAGCACTACCCTGTTACTTCCTTAGCTTTATTATTATTAGTTTCAGCAGGAAATATATTTTATATTTTTATTTTATTTTTTTGTGAACATACTGTACAGAGGGGTTACAATTACATGGGCAAGATAGTGAGTACATTTCTTATCAAGCATTGCAGCCTCCTCCTTTATTTACCCTTCACATTCCTTCCCAGCCTCCCCCCACCCCCCCACTCAATCCTCCCCCCCACCAAAGTTGTAAAGTTCGTTTTCAACATGACAACTTGTATTTCTCATTGTTGCAACGGGTCCACCTGTATCCTTAAACGACTTGTTTTTCCCCTTCTCCTCCACAAATTATACCGACATCAAATACAGTGAAAGCAGGGATTATACTGTGGGGGAAGGACATACAAAGCAACAAAGAAATAATCTTATAAATGCGTTAGAAACAAATGCATGACAGAAAAAAAACATTTAAATACATATCTAAGGGTTCATTTTCCTAACATCACATTATCTGACCTTTTCTACTTGACTCATACATATACTAGATATTGCAAATAAGGGAAACCATGGAACCTATGTTTCTTTGGGCCTGGCTTACTTCACTTAATATAATTTTTTCCAAGCCTTTCCATTTCCTAACAAATGGGGCAATGTCATTCTTTCTGATGGAGGCATAGAATTCCATTGTGTATATATACCACATTTTCTTGATCCATTCATCTACTGAGGGGCATCTGGGTTGGTTCCATATCTTAGCTATGGTAAATAATGCTGCATTTATTATTATTATTATTATTGTTATTATTTTGGTCGGTCGTGGGGTCTAAACTCTGAGCGTGGGTGCTTTCCCTCAGTTCTTCAGCTCAAGGCTAGTACTCTACCACTTGAGCCACAGCACCACTTCCAGCTTTTTCTGTTTGTGTGGTGCTGAGGAATTGAACCCAGGGCCTCATGCATGCAAGGCAAACACTACTACTGAGCTACCTTCCCAGCCCCTTAGCTTTATCTTTTTGTTGTTGTTGGTCATGAGGCTTGAACTCAGAGTCTGGGCACAGTCCCGGAGCTTTTATACTCAAAGCTAACCCTCTACTACTTTGAGCCATAGCTCCATTTCCAGTTTTCTGGTTAATGTTAGATTTTTAAAAAGAGGTTGCCGAGTAAGAACTGCACCAGCACACACGTGATATTCAGGTAAGGGGTAGGTTTATTCAGTAGACCTGATGGGACCAGGCAAGGTTGGCACCCCACGTGGCTGGGAAAGGCCTGGGAATGAGAGAGAGCTGGGAAAGAGAGGAAAGGAGAGGAAAGAGCTAGAAAAGAGCAGAGAGAAGGGTAAGAACAGTAGCACTCACGTGGTATTCAGGTAAGGGGTAGGTTTATTCAGTAGACTTGCTGGGACCAGGCAAGGTTGGCACTCCACGTGGCTGGGAAAGGAAAGAGGAAAGAAAGGAAAGAGAGAGAAAAGAGCTAGAAAAGGGAGAGAGAGCAGAGAGCTAGAAACGAACAGAGAGAGTGCCTGGGCCTGCGCTAGGCCTTATCTAGGGTATGGGTGGGGAAAGGTGTGGCCACATCAAATTCAGATGTGACCTCAGCGGATGCAGATGTGACCTCTTCCAGGTGTCCCAGTTGCCTAGGTAACACAGGTACTGGGCGAGGTCTGTTCGCCGTCCAGGAATGGACCTTACAGTTAATTGTAGATAGAGTCTCATTAACTTTTCTGCCTATGCTGGCTTCAAACTTTAATCCTCACATCTCAACCTTCTGAGTAGCTAGGATTACAGGCATGGGCTACGGGCCACCAGCTCAAGTTTTATCTTTAACTTTATTTTATAGTCTTTCTTTTAATTTTTTTTTTAAATTAGGTGCTGGGAAGGCTCAGTGGTAGAGTGCTTGCCCCATGCAGGAGGCCATGGGTTCGATTCCTCAACACCATATAAGCAGAAAAAAGAAAGCCAGAAGTGGTGCTGTGGTTCAAAGTGGTAGAGCGCTAGCCTTGAGCTGAAGGACAGTGCCCAGGCCCAGAGTTCAGGCCCCACGACCAACCCAAAAAATTTTTTTAATTAATTTTATTTATTTTTTTGTTTATGTGGTACCAGGGAATCAAACCCAGGGCCTCATGCATGCTAGTCAAGCACTCTTACCAGTAAGCCACATTCCCTGACCCAAGCTTTATCTTTTTTTTTTTTTTTTTTATTGTAAAGCTACTATACAGAGGGTTACAGTTACATGAGTGAGGTAATGAGTACACTTTCTCTTGAACATTGTTACCCCCTCCATTGTTTTCCCCCTACCATCCCCTCCCTCCCCCCCTTCCCCGAGGTTCTTTTTTTTTTTTTTTTGATTGTGATTAAATGATTACATAATTTCAAAGTCACAAGTTCATTCTAACTTCCCTGGAGCAAATTGTCTACCACAGTCTGTAATATATAACAGTGTTCACATGTTATATACCATATTTGTGATCAGCAGCATGAGGATATTTAGTAGTGGTTCAACCAGATGAGCGGGAGTTCTTTGTTTCTTAAGTCCTGTTAGTTTTGTCCTATCACCTAACCTTTTGGATTTAGCATCCACTTATGAGGGAGACCATGTACCGTTTGTCTCTTCGTTCTTGGCTTACCTCGCTCAACATGATTCCTTCTAGCTCCATCCATTTCCCTGCAAATGCCATTATTTTGTCATTTCTAATGGCTGCATAATATTCCATTGTGTATAGATACCACAATTTTTGGATCCATTCATCTGTGGTGGGGCACCTAGGTTGTTTCCATATCCTAGCTATTGCGAACAGTGCTGCAATAAACATGGAGGTGCACGTGTCCTTGTATATTGGTTCCTGTTGTTCAGGGTAGATGCCTAGAAGTGGTATGACTGGGTCGTAAGGGAGGTCAATCTTTAGCTTTCTAAGGACCCTCCAGACTGCTTTCCAAAGTGGTTGTATAAGTGTACATTCCCACCAGCAGTGTAATAGGGTTCCTCTTTCTCCACATCCCCTCCAGCATTTGTCGTTGGCTGATTTGTGGATGTGGGACATTCTGACTGGGGTAAGGTGGTATCTCAGGGTTGTCTTTATTTGCATTTCCTTCACCACCAGGGATGATGAACATTTTCTCATGTGTTTCTTTGCAATTTTTATTTCTTCATTTGAGAAGTCCCTCTTTAGTTCCCTTGCCCATTTAGTAATTGGTTTGTTAGGTTTGGGAGGGATTAGTTTCTTGAGTTCCCTGTATATACAGGATGTTAACCCCTTGTCTGATATATTGCTGGTAAATATTTTTTCCCAATTAGTTGGTTGTCTTTCTAGCTTAGTTGCGATAGATTTAGCTGTGCAGAAGCTTTTTATTTTAAGGTAGTCCCATTTGTCGAGTCTCTCTCCAACTTGTTGTGACCCTGGGACTCTGTTCAGGAAGTTCCTTCCTGTGCCTATTAGTTCAAGTGTCTCTCCTACTCTGTCCTGCAGTAGTTTCAGAGATTCAGGTTTAATGTTAAGGTCTTTAATCCATTTTGAGTTGATGTTGGTGCATGGTGATAGGCTGGGGTCCACTTTTAGTTTTCTGCATGTGGCTGCCCAGTTTTCCCAGCACCAGCGGTTGAAGAGGCTGTGTTTCTTCCATTGTATGTCTTTGGCTCCTTTGTCGAATATCAGCTGGCTGTAGGCCTGTGGATTTATATCTGGATCTTCTATTCTGTTCCATTGGTCTTCGGGTCTGTTTTTGTGCCAGTACCATGCTGTCTTTGTGATTATAGCTCTGTAGTAGAGTTTGAAGTTCGGCATGGATAGCCCTCCCATATTGTCTTTATCCCCTAGAATTGTTTTGGCTATTCTAGGTCTTTTGTTGTTCCATATAAATTTTTGGACTGTTTTCTGTATTTCAGTGATGTACGTCATTGGGATTTTAATAGGAATTGCATTGAATTTGTATATTAGTTTTGGAAGTATCACCATCTTTACTATATTAAGTCGGCCTATCCAGGAGCATAGGAGGTCTTTCCATTTCCTAGTGTCTTCTGCAATTTCTTTCTTTAACTTTTTATAGTTCTCATTAAATAGTTCTTTTACATCTTTGGTTAGGTTAATTCCTAAATATTTTATTTTTTGGGAGGTTATTGTGAATGGGGTTGCTCCCTTTATTTCCCTCTCTTCCTGTGCGTTATCAGTGTATAGGAAGGCAACTGATTTTTGTGGGTTTATTTTGTATCCTGCTATTTTGCCGAAGTGACTTATGATTTCTAAAAGTTTGGGGATGGAGTTTTTGGGATCGTGGAGGTATAGTATCATGTCG